TAGCGCGAAGAGCCGCACATACGGCACGCTACGCTCCTGCGTACTCCGGCTAAACGCGATCTAATTGATTAACTTTCTTCGTTAATAACTCTGTAAATAACGGTCTGAGCCAAAATTGAAAGAGGAACTTTTAGTTCAAAATTTCATTCTCTTTCACGCCTTGAAATATTAATTAAGCGTTACGGGACACCCTGTATATATATTAGACTGACCCAAAAAAAAAAATTTTTTTTAAATCGGCCTCTCAGCATAAAAGCTTCCATTCCATGCCAAAAGAACACCCCTAAATTTTTATTAAAAAATATTAAGATTTAGAGGTCGCCAGTGAACGATTTTTAAATCAAAGTTTCGATTTTCCTTAATACATGTTTGATTTGATGCAAAAATGGCTTAATCCGGATTTTAAATGTGGTACTGTATGTTTTTTTGATCGCTGTACACGATGCAATATTTCATTTAGCTCTATGATATACGCCTTAAGAAATACTGCCTGATTAATGTGAAAAAATGATCAAATTTTAAGTTTAAGGTCGATTTTAGTAAAGTTCTAAGCGTTCAAATGGATCGTTACTCCCCTTAAATTGTAGGTTTGTTTACCCAGAACAAGATTCAGTTGGAATTTTCCCGGAACCTCCTACAGGGCCTTTAAAAGTTTTATTTAACTAGATTATTAATACGTTTCTAAGGATAAAAAAATTTTTTTACAAGTTCTAAAATATATCGCTTTGTGGTCTTGATATCCTCACATCAAATGCCTCAATTTGACCATAAAAAATTCTTTATTAGAAAATGAAATGAATACATAATAACAAAAATATGATTTAATTAATTGAAATAAACCTATATAAAATAAGGAATGGAATCATATATAATAAAAATAGGAATTAAATTTTAATGGAATTATAATTACTCATCTGTATAATTCACAATATATGTATAATCGAAAATTTTAAAAACCGTGGATTTATTTTATGTATTTTAGAGAAAAAGCGATAATTATGTGGAGATTTTCCTATAAAATTGTTTATTAGAGATTTTTGTTATATATGATTCTATTACTTATTTTATATAGGTTGTTTATTTCAATTAATTAAATCATATTTTTGTTATGTACTCATTTCATGTTCTATAATAAAAAAAATTTTTTATTGTCAAATTGAGGCATTTGATGTGAGGATGTCAAGACCACAAAGCGATATACTTTAGAAATTGTAAAAAAAAATGTCTTTATCCTTAGAAACGTATTAATAATCCAGTTAAATAAAACTTTTAAAGGACTTGTAGAAGGTTCCAGAAAAATTCCAACTGAATCTTATTCTGGGTGAACAAATCTACAATTTAAGGGGAATAACGACCCATTTGAACGCTTGGAACCTTGCTAAAATCGACCTTGAACTCGAAATTTGATCAATTTTTCACATTAATCGGGCACTATTTCTCAAGGCGTATATCGTAGAACTAAATGAATTATTGCATTGTGTTCAGCGATCAAAAATACACACAATACTACATTTAAAATTCGGATTAAGTCATTTTTGCATCAAATCAAACATGTATTAAAGAAAATTGAAACTTTAATTTAAAAATTGTTCACTGGAGATCTCTAAATCTTAATATTTTTTAATAAAAATTTAGGGGTGTTCTTTTGGAATGAAATGGAAGCTTTTGAGCTAAGAGGCCGATTAAAAAAATATTTTTTTTAGTCAGTCTAATATATACAGGGTGTCCCATTTTAATCGATCACCTCAAATATCTCTTGAACAGTGCATTTTAGGGAAAAATGTCTCAGACAAAAGTTTTGGGACTTCGAGGGGTACATAATATAATAACATTGGTTTGACCCTGAGTGGCGTCGTCAAGGTCAGAACAAGATAACTTTGATTTTTTTAATTGGAACTCCCTATTTTTCGTTACATATTCTTGTAGCACATCTCGAGAGCTTTCCAAAACACATAGATAAAATATTTTTTGATTAAATAAATCTTGAGTTATAAAGCTTGAAAGTTGCAGTACCATCGGCATTAGCATTATCCAAGATGCCCAAACACTGGCTAAAACTTTTTGAATGTTGTTTATGACCGAGACAACACATGTCAAAATCAAGGCCATTAAAGATTATTGCTTTTATTTTCATTTTTGAAAATTATATTTATTTTTTGAAAGAAAGAGAAACAATTTCTAATAATCATGACTTTCACATGCTGTATCAATGTCATGATCCTGAATAACATTCAAAAGATTTTAGTTAGTGTTCGGATACCTTCGATGATGCTAATGCCGACGATACTCCAACTTTCAAACTTCATAACTCAAGATTTATTTCATAAAAAAATATTTTATCTGTGTGTTTTGGAAAGCTCTCGTGTGCTACAAGAATATTTAATGAAAAATGAGGGGTTCCATTTAAAAAATTCAAAGGGACCTTGTCCTGACCTTGACGACGCCACTTAAGATCAAACCAATATTATCATCTTATGTCCCCCTCGAAGTCCCAAAACTTTTGTCTGAAACATTTTTCCCTAAAATGCACTGTTCGAAAGATATTTGAAGCGATCGATTAAAATGGGACACCCTGTATATTTCAAAAATTTGTAAAAAATAATAATGATAATAAATAAATGTTCTAATTTCTAATTAAAACAGAAATGACAAATATATTTAATGTATTTAATTTTCTTTTAATAAAATAAATATTTATCCAAATTTTCATTAAAAAGAGATTAAATAATTTACATCTATTAGTTCAAATTTTTTTATTTAAATTTAGTAATAATCTTGGTAACTTTTCAGTACCTATTGATTGATATATATGTATATAGTGTGTCTAAAAAATCAAAAGATGACAAACTCAATTGAACAATAAAAGTAGATTACTGTACTTTTAAAAACTTTTTGCGCCTTTATACGTTTAATTGTTCTTTTGCTACATATATGTTACAATAAATGTTTCCGTCTAACAAATCATTTATTCGGATGGAATTAAAATTTTTTGAATTACTGTCACATCTCAAAATGAAAGTGATTTTCCAGATAATAATCTAAAGAATAATCAGAGATTACATACTATTACATTTACTATTACATTAGTCAAGGTAATACTTTCGCATTAAGATAATACTTTTAAAAGCGCCTTGATAATGTTTATATATGTTGATAAATGTTTCTCAGTTTGCACACACGTATACATTGCATGAAATAATGATATGAGCGTTTAAGTGGTTGAGCAGCAAGCGCGCAATTTAGATAAAAACCCATTAAAATAATGCTACATTTTAGCGTCATTACAATATATTTTAAAGCAAAAAGTCATCGCGAACGTCATTTCGCCAACATATATTCGTCATCAGTGAGAAAATTAAAGCAACAGTAATTCCTTAGTTTTCACGCTAATAGCGGAATATCTCGACAGAATACACGCCAACGTTTCCACGAGTAATAGAACGTTCTATCTTGTGTCTAAGAAAACTGGGGATTTACTTTATAAAGCGCGGAATACAGAGTAGACCGTAACGGCGTGAGAGAGAGGAAAGGAAATTGCGCATTCGACCGCGAATATAATATTCGTAACGTTCGCCATCGCCGCTCGAAAAATTTTAAAAGAAACCAAGTCACCGCGCTATCATCTTATTCAGAAAAGAAAACAGAGCTCGTCGCCCTTAGCGATCGGCGAACCGCTCAATGAATTAGAAATATCACTGATGCTTTTACTCCCGGGTTCTCCATGAATAGAAATAACTTTAACGCGATTCCCTTGGACTTTCTGCACCTCCGAAAAGCAACTACGAGACATCTCTTTCGATCTCGTTCCTTTCCGCCATCCTGGCTCTCTCGCAGCGAGCAGAACTTTTCTCTCTTTCCTGTCGAAGAAATCGAAGAAACAATCCAATGTATGACTTTCAATAAGTTCCACAGATTACATTTAAAATTAAATTACGCAAAATAAAAATTAAAATCAAATCCTGGTTGACAGAATATTTTTCACAACAAATCTCTTTACAATATTTTCGTATCGCGTTGGGGAACAAGAAGAATCTTATGAGAAAGGCCATATAACCATTATTATTATTAAATTGATTTAATATTGTGATATTAATATTCTTCAATTTAATATTGTGATATTAATATTCTGGTTCAATTAGAACTGCTTAAAACGTAACGGCACACAGTGTGTAGAACTAGAAAAATGTACATAAAATCACAAGAAATTTTAATTTTAATAACTAACAAGGGACATGTCACAACTGTCCGGCACCGATTTAATTCTCCTTAAAATATGTTTTTAAACACAAAAATCTAAAAGACACGTATTTTTTATATTGCGGAATCTCAAGTTTAGGGGATGAAACACCCTTTTAAAAAAAAATTTTTTTTTCATGGCAAATATTGTCGAAAATATAAAAGATAGAAAAAATGTTTTAAACAAAAGTTGTACAGTTTGAAGAGTACTTTTAAGTTGTAAAGAAAAAAATTTTTTTATTTTTTATTTAATAAAATACCCCTACCACTTTAAGTTTTTTTTTTAATTTTTAAAATAT